AGCACCAGCACCAGCACCAGCAAGAGCACCAGCACCAGCACCAGCACCAGCACCAGTACTAGCGATGCCAAAATCACGTGCGATCACGGCGAACACGGCTGCCCAGGCTGCCTCGTCGTCTTTCGTGTCCGGGTGCGCAAATTCGCTGACGAGATCGGAGTGGTAGTTCGCAAAGGGCAGCGCTTGGAGGGCTTGTAGGTTCTCTTCGGGAGTATGGGTGATGGCCGGCGTTGCGGGACCGGTCTGCGCAGAAGCCGCCGACGTGGCATTGTGGGCATGCGGACGTGTGGCCGTGTTGACATCCTCATGAGCGTAATCCCCATTTCCAACACGACGAGTCTGTCTGTCTGCGTCGGAATGAGCCTCCGGTGGTCTGACCGCAGCCTGGTCTGTGCCGCTGGTAGTGGGTTGTCTGCTGGTCGTATTTCCGAACCCCACGGAAGGGGTGCCACCGACAACTTGTTGGAACGAAGCGAAGAATTCTTGAATCTTCTTCTTCTCGGACTTGGAGAGTTCTGGATAGAACTGGAGCATGTCGACTTCCGGCACACACGGACGAACGAGAGTGCCGTCTGATTTCCCCCACCTCAAATGGATGCGCCGTCCCGTGTTTGTCCCGTCGGCGTGGCGTTGACTGTCTTCTTCCCCGGTCCGGACCCAAGTACACTCGCCCATCTCACATACATGTTGTTCAATCTTATGGAGCAGAGAGGGTGTGATCTTGCCGGTAAGCTGGATGAGGTGCAATTCGGGCAGAATGGAGCGGGTGAGCGGACTGACGTGGAAATTCGGGTGCGGTTGAATGTCTCTCAGGGTAGATCCGGCTCTGGCCAGGGCGGTGCGGATTGGAAAGTCATATCGATTGTCTGCGCCGCCGCTCGTCCACTCCTCACTCTCCGAAAGGTGAGCGCAAAGACGAAGTTCCGGACTGCCAATCAGAGGCGCACAAGCCATGATGGCGCTGCAGAACTCGAGCGATGCAGCCAGGACGGCTCGGGGTTGCTCAAACTTCAACTCAAGCTTCCGCAGTGCAGGCATCTTTTCGCCGGCAGCTTTGACGGTCTGGACGTAGCCCCAGCATGTCCCTACAGTCCAGCACACCTCCAGCGATTCCACGTGCTTGTACATTGGCTCAGGTCGCGCGAGTCCGGCGCGCAGAGTGGACAGGTCCAAGGCGAAGATGTTGCATTTGAACAGAACTGGGGATGCCTCCAAATAGGTCTTCTTGTTCAATCGGAACACATGGACGGGTATCTTGTCTGCAGCAGGGTTGGTTCGCTCGTGTTTGAACAGGCCGGTTCCATCCACGATGAGCTTGATAGGCTCCGCAAAGCCGAAGAGCTGTTGATAGACCTTGAGCCGTAGCTCGACCGCGAGATCGAAGAAAGGCCCATGGACTGGTCCATGAGGCGATGCTGGCGCCGCATCGAGTTGAGGCGTCGAATTGGCCTGCCCATCATCAGCGGAAGAAGTAGCCATGCTGACTCGAGGCCGAAGGGGAGCGGGCAACGAAGACGGAGAATACTTGTTCCGTGCACTGTGCAAACTGCATCGATGAGGAGTCAACTTTGGGAGTCATTCTTCAGTAAGATTTCTAGCTGCTGGTCGTGGGAGAGACCTTCACAGCAAGGCAAGTGAATTGTCAATGAGGCTGTGAATGTTTGCAAGGCGGAGTGTGACTGTGCTTGGCCGACCCCTCCGCCATCGCGTCTTGTATCAGCCAATGTGCGCGATGGGGCGTGATACCAGGCGCTTCACCCTCCTAAGATAATGGTCAGATCACACGGACGTCCGCCTGAAGGTGAACGTCGCAGATGTATCGCGACGGAGACGACATGTTGTCCGTTGAGTAACTGTCTCAAACAGGGAAGGCGTCAAGTCAAAGAGGCGTGAGAGGATCCTCCACACTGCCGATCTCATGCAGGTACCGTCCATGACATCAACACTCGGTTGCAATTCACGATGTGAGCGGCGTTGGAGCCAGCGGCCCTTTTGAACGCCAGACTAGTCCTTTCATTGGGAAACAAAGCGACCTGTTTCCAGACCCATCAGGCCACGAAGCAACAGACCCCTCTTCCCACCGAGAACATCATGTCCCGAGCCACGAGAGTAGCGTCGGCAACGCGGAGAGCTACGAGGAGCTGTACCTCTTCAAGAGCAGGCGACGCAGCAGTCAAGAAGCAGCAACCCGAAGAAGCCGCGATCAAGCAAGAACAGCAAACTCCCGAGAAACCCTCGCGCGCACAGGCTAAGCGGGCCCTCTCCGCGATCGAGAAGGAGACACCCAAGAGGAAGAGGGTCAAGAAGGAAGAAGACTCGCCCCTGCAATCGGCCTCGCCCTCGTCCTCGCATCCTTCCAAGAAATCTCCCTCCTCGACAAGAAGCACGCCATCCACCCTGAAGGACAAGAAACTCAAGTCCTACGCCCAATTCGCAAATGCATCGCCCTTTCCGGACTTCCACCACCCCACCCCCGAAGAATGCAAGCTGGCGCATCGCATCCTCTCCTCCCTACACGGCCCCCGGACCCGCCCCACCCAGCTCATCGCCTCTACTGACCGAGCAGGTTGTGGCGATTCCCCCTCCGTGCTCGATGCCCTGGTCCGCACGATCCTCTCCCAGAACACCAGCGACGTGAACTCGTCCCGCGCCAAGAAGAGTATGGACAAAACATATGGCCGCAGCGACAAATGGGACGCCATCGTCGCGGGTGGACAGGCCAAACTCCAAGACGCAATCAAGTGTGGCGGGCTGAGCGCGGTGAAGAGTAAAGTCATCCTCAGCATCTTGAATCAAGTGTATGAGAAATACGGGCTCTATTCGCTCGATCACTTACACCAGGCGAGCAGTGAGGATGCCATGGCTGAGATGCTGAGCTTTCAGGGTGTGGGCCCGAAGACGGCCTCCTGCGTGCTGCTGTTTTGCCTGCAGAGAGAGAGTTTTGCCGTGGATACCCATGTCTGGCGGATTACTGGATTGCTGGGGTGGAGGCCGAAGACCGCCACGAGGGACGAGACGCATGCGCATTTGGATGTTATGATCCCCGATGAGGATAAGTATGGCTTGCATATTCTGTTGGTGACGCACGGGAAGAAGTGCGACGAGTGTAAGGCTGGCGGGAAGAATCTGGGAAAGTGTGAGCTGAGAAAGGCCTTCAGACAAAAGAAGATGGAAGGGGAAGCCGGAGAGGATGTCAAGCAGGAAGAGGTCGAGCTGGTGAAGCAGGAGAACGCATAGGCACAAGCCCATGGCCGGCGCAATGGCCATCGGGGTGATATTTGCGGGCGGATTGACGACGAGACGCAAGCTGTACGATGGTCGCCGATTCAATTCTGTAAAACCACCGTGTACACTATTTGGGTGAACAGGCTTGTCCCTAATGCGGTCCTGATACTTCGTCAATGCCTTGGGCGTCACCGTACATATAAGCCACCTAAAACTTCTGCACACATTCTGCTTTGACCATCTCCATGACATGCACTCAAACGACTTCAACGTACTCATGAAATTCATCGTAGAGCCACTGATCGATACCTTCCCACTTTTTCTTCTGGTCTTCATCGAACAATCTCTTGTCTCGCTCGGCGTCTGTCTCCTTCGCACGTGTTGCCGTCTTGACATTCGAAGCCATTCCTGTGTCCTCAGGCGTCTTGATCGACGATTCAGCAGGAGTATCAGCGCCAGGACTGACGCTCGGATCTCGCATTATAAAGGTATCCTTAACCTGGTTCTTTGGAGTCGTGGAAAGCCCAGTAGAGTCCGGTCGCATGCCGGAAAAGTCCTCAATGTAGTCCATGCCGTCTTCGAAGCATTTTATGCTCTGAACCATAGTGCTGCTCTGGCCCTGGGAAGCGGTTCTGTCATTCTTGAGAACATCCCACATGGCGACGTGCTCGAGTGGCGGATCAACCCCTCCAAAGTCCAGATCTGAGGCCAGGAAATCAATATCGTCGTTGTTTGGCATGGTCAGCTCCTTCTCGCAGAGGCTGGAATTGGCAGTGCTTGGCTTGTCCACGACTGTAGGCGCTGCTTCGGTGGCAGAAAGCACATCAGCAGACTGACCGGACTCCACAAAGGAAAAGTCGAATAGTTCGTCCTCGTCGAAGGAAAGGAACATGTCGTCTTTGCCCTCGTCGACTTTTGCATCTTGTTTCTCTGGGTTCTTTGGAGATACCTGTTTGGCATGGTCTTTAGAGCAGTCAAGTTCGAGGTCGGATTCGAAGTCCATAGTAGGCTCAGCTCCCCAGAAATCCTCTACAGGGTCTTGCGAGTGCTTCGCACGTTTGGCGGTAGGCTCACCAGACTGTTTTCGGAACTTGGGCTTTCCAGAGCTGAGGGTTCTGTGTGTTGCGTGGCGTGGCTCTTGAGAGTCTCCGAGCCCCTTTCTTTGATTCTTGTCTTTTGTTTCCCTGGTAGGATCACCGCACAGCTTCGCCGGGGCCTTGCTGTCCGGTTCATTTTGGCGACCTTGGCCGGGCCACAGTTTTGGTTGCATCGACGTCAAAGATGTTATCTTCTTCTGCCCTTTCTCCTCCTCTCTGACCGCGGTTTCTGCTTTTGATCGACGCTTTGGCTTGGCCACACCCTCCTTGCAGCATTTGTGCTTACAATCCTTGCCCCGCTCTTTGCAATCGTGCTGGCAAGTCCACCGTCCATTTGGCAGTTGACTAGGCTCTCGATACGCCGAATCATCAGCGTCCTCGTTGTGGTAATGCTCCGTGGGCTTGCTCTTCTTATATTCTGTTTTGAGGATGGCATCAATATCTTCAATGACTTCGATCCTCCTGCCGTCGGCGTCAATGGCTAGAAGATCTTGGTCATCAATTCCCCCATCGTCGAATTCGTCGACGCAGCAATTGGACACCGGAGCTTGGTCAGCGTGTTTCCTCGTGCCGTCAATCGATTCATCTTGGTGTCGTTCCTTCGGATATGCAGAGACTGGAATGTCCAACAGCTTCAACTCGGCGTATTTGCTAGTCCCGGCAATATTATCACACATCACATAACAGTTGACATGGTCGGTCGGTTTGGTGAGGCGTACGCTCAACGTGAACTTTTCCCCGTGCTCCAGTTTCTTTGGACTGAATCTTCGGAATTCAAGTAGAGTCCCATTTGAGTCGTCAGCCAGGAAGCACACGGAAAAGGGCTTCTTGTTGAAGATCTGTGGTGGCACCCGGTTCAAAAAGGCAATTTCGGCAACGATTTTGACCGTTGCACATTGGCCACGCCGAATCGCTCTACCAGTCTCTTTCACAGAGACCATTAGATTGGGAAACGACTCCAGCTTCTTCAACAACTGATGACCGAAAGGCGGATTCTTGCCAAGCACCAGTTCGATACGGGCTGGCTCTGTGTTCAGCAGGGAATCGATGCTGTTGATAGACGACGCCGCCAATTTGCGAACTGCGACCTCACCAAGGCCTTCGACTTGTCTCAGCTGACTAGCCGTATTGTCCCAAACGTGCGCTGCAAGGCTGCGGCCGAGCTCAAGGGCATTCCGGGCCGATATGGCGTCTTGTAACTGAATTTGACAATCAATGAGACATCGGATAAGCCTATTGGCATGCGCGAAGACATTTGACCTGTCAATCCGGTATTGGGTATGGTGTTTCTTGTGGCTCTCTCCGTCCGGCAGGGCGACGCTGCCCATCTCCGCTTGCATGAGCAACGAGATTTTATGTGAAAGGAGAGCGACGTCGACCTTGATGGGAAATTTGATCTCTGGAGCCTTGTTGATCTCCTTGTAGAAGGACTTCTCGCCAGCCTGCATTCGCAAACCTCGGAATTCTCGTGCTTGAGCCAACAGGGAGAGCTGCCATCGTCAGTGAGATAAACCAGCATCCCCGAGATCAACGTACAATTTCGGACGTTTTCGCTTTTGGAGGCAGCCCGATGAAAGACTTCATAGTATCGAAGTTGACGCAGTATCGTGCCATTGCTTCCCCAAACATAGTCGGAGTCAATCGCTCCTGTCCTTCCACGATTCCCGCGTCCACAAGAAGATCTATATCCTTCTTGCACAATTGCTCCAGAATCGCATCATCCGTACTTTCGTCCACGCCTTCTCGGAACTGGTAATGAGAAGGGTTCCTCCTCAGACGAACGTACAAGAACGTGCTTGCGAGCCATTGCTTTGCTGTATCGACGTCACGCACGGTCCCAAGGATGATTTCTGCGTTCAGATGCTCGATCAGATTCTGGTGGAGGCAGCTCTCCAGGAGTTCCTCTCCAGAGACCATCTTCTCATATCGAGAGACTTTTCCTTGGCGGCACAAGATAACCGCACAAGCCGAAGTTTCAAATTGAGGTCTTCCAGCTCTACCCAGCATTTGCATGACCTCAAGGTCTGCATACTCTTTCAAACCACTGTCGGTCCAGGCACAAGTTCCTTTCAGGATAACAAGATAGCATGGTAAATTCACGCCCACTGCCAAGGTAGAGGTGCTGCAGATGATATTGATTTGTCCGCTTAGAAAGGCTTCCTCAATTGTGCGGCGATCTGCTACGCTGAGGCCGCCGTGATGGAACGCAACTCCGGCCCCGGCGGTAGCTGTGATATTGTCAATATGCGAACGGTAGTTGTCACGGTGGCATACCTTTGAGCTCCACGTTCATTAAAGAGAGCTGCCTCTCGGGGCCCTTCCACAGCCGCTGCGTGGGACGCGAGGATGACCAGGCGTCTGCCAGGCTTTTCGCAGTGTTCACCGAGGCTCTTCGGGTGGAACAAAAGACCATGACAGGTTTTCCACGTCCGTGATCTGCGATAATCTTAGGTATCCTGTCCCAAGTCAGCCTCCGCTTCAAAGGCAGTTATTCAAGAGTGCACCAACTGTTCGGTCAACATGGACTCGAATGCAAAGTCGTTGCTTCTACTTTCAAAACCATAGACATGCTTCTGGAGTTGAACAGGACGAAAGCTTTCGCCAAATACTTCCCTCTGTGCGGGCAGATGCGGCATCATCGAGTTTTTGCCCAGCCAGATTGCAATATCTTCAGAGTTCGGTACGGTGGCGGACAAGGCGACAAATCTGACGGAGCAGACGACCGATTTCATTCGGGACACAACAGCTTCCAGCGTGGCACCACGTTCGTCCTTAAGGATATGAACCTCATCGACGAGAAACAGCTTGACAAGTTGCAGAAGTCTGGCGTGATCTTGCCACTTCCGGGTGACGCTGTCCCATTTTTCAGGAGTAGTGATGATAATGCTCGCTTTCTGCACGTCTCGTAGATGGGCTAAATCCGTGTCACCGGTGAGCTCAGCACATTCTAGATTCAAGGCGCTAAACTTCTTCTGCCAGTCGTTGTATCTTTCTGCGCACAGTGACTTTGTTGGAGCCTGATAGATCACCTTGAAGTCTTGGCCTTTGCACTCAGCTACCAGTCTGCAGATGGCGAACTCCATGATAACCGTCTTTCCGCTGCCTGTGGGAGCCGACACCACGAGATTGTCATCGGACTCGAAAGCGCTAGCAAAGCATTTGGACTGGACCGCATTGAAGATGTCATATTTGAAGACCGCTCGAAGCTGGCCTGGGAGTGCTGTAGCAGGCACCAGCTTGATTCCCTGGACAATAGGTGGCGACGCAGAAGGCAGATTGGCCTCAGATACCCTCCGATCGGCGTTTCTGGGCACCATAGATGCCACTTTTGTATGGTGTTCGAAATCATCAGGTGGGACGTCCTCAGGCGTCATGTCACCGATGGTTCTTGAAAAAGGTCGACCGGCTTTCGCTCTCTGACGATGCTGAAGTGCTGACACCGTGGGACTGGGGATAGGTCCAATTGGTGAGGAGCCAGCTGATGGAAGCATTGTATTGTCGAGTAAATCATCTGCTGACATGATAAGCTTCGGACTTCTTCTCGAGCTCTTCAATTCACCTCGAAAGAATCTCCCAGTAGGACCGGTCATCAATGGAGTGATAGGGTCGCGAGGAAATGAGATTGGAGCCAGATGCGTTGCTTCTGGATGGCTGTGTTCACTTTGGATTTCTTGGAGGAGCTGTCTGTCTGATGACATGTCAGTCTCAAGTGTCGGAAGATGGGATACTCGACCCACCAAAGTCATCCAAAGTCATGTCCTCAGGCGACGGAGGCTCGAGCGGAGGACTCTGAGTTGATCCAGACCAAGCAAAGAATGGTGATCGTTGCTGGGGAACGCTAAAATAGGACTCGTGTGTGTTCGAGCCAACTTGAGAGGGGCGGGAGCTGTAGAGAATGTGTGTCTCACGGGTGGAAGCAGGGAGGGAAATCTGATGGTAGTGGGCCGGAAAGCGTCTTGCGTTCTCCATAGCATTGGTGTAGGGTCACGCATGCAGCGGGACACAGAATGATGGTGGAAGTAGGACAGAGGCATCAGAGCAAGGGAGATTGTCAACCAAACTGGAAAATTTGTTGTATCAAGGCGACGTGCAGGTGAGGGTATCCCAGAGGGAAGCCACGACCGACTGTTGGGGCAGGGAAGTCACGTGCCAACTTTGCCCCTTTTCATTGAATTCACTTTCACCTCTCCCTCGCCGCATGGTAGAAGGGCCCTCCATCCACTTACGGTACTCCGCTATGTCCAAAGAGAGCTTTCAATCGAGCTCCCTAGCAGCCCTTGCACCCTCTGTTCTGGGTGTCTCCACGCTGCTCTCTGGGCTTGCAGCATCAATCCATCATTATATCCCAATGTTGATGTCATGTCCAGTCGTAAGCATTCGTTCCGCCTTAGGGCTTGCCTCAATCGTGATGCTTTGTGAAATAGCCGAGAGCTTCCTTATTTCTCTTTTTGTGGCTGGGTGAACCAGGCCTTGAAGTGGCCAAAGCCGTCTCCTCCTGGAGCAGAGGAGTCTTTGGAATCTGGATTGACATGTCGTTTAGCCCGGCCGAGCCATTGAGAGCTGCTTTGTCGTCTTGGTTGAGAGTGATCGCCGGACTTTGCAGCTGCCGGGCTTCTTCGGAGTTGTAAACCCAGGTCGCGAGGAGGACTATCGATGCCCCAATCAAGAACTAAAGCCGTTAGCCACTGTACCCATGGATTTCAGAACAATACACGTACATGACCAGTCATGGCGAAGTCAAAGAACAGGAAGCTGGCCAGGCTGCTGAGGACCATGCTGATGCTAACAGCAAAATTCTTCGAGATGTTGTCGGCGTAAAAGATGCAGAACGCCGCCACGATGCCACCAAACGACTGAATCGCAATCGAGAGCGCAACCACCCAATTGTAGCCCGCAAAGAAGCCATACTTGGCTACTGACTCGCCATCGAGAAACAGAATGCCGACAAAGAAGGCCGGAAAGAGTGAGTATGTCGATAGCTGTACATTTCGAATCCAGAGAGACGTCGGCCTGGGCGACTCTTTGATGACTTTTTCAAAATAGACGCCCGCAAGACCCGAGCATATGCAGACGCCAAGCACGGCAAACAAACCGACAGAAGCGTCCATGCCTGGGTTGTAGAGGGCGAGCTCGTCTTCTTCGATGCCTTCATACGTGGCCGACCGCTTCTTGACGTGCGCACCAGGATTTCCCCTCCCGAAATGCTCGCTTAACGGGTTGAACGATCGCGGTACGTAGATGTGGGTATGGTGGCTCGAAGCCAGGGATGTCGACGAGTCATGAGGTAGAGAGACGATTGCGACTCCCAGCATGAGCAGAATCAGAGATAACCATTGCCGTCCGGAGATTGTTCTGCGTAGAAGCATGACGCTGAAGACAGCGGTGGCAATGATCTTGAACTGGTATGTGACGTGGAACGTGGCCGCGTCGAGATTTGAGATGCCTACGTATTGCAGGCTGTTTGCGAGGGTGTAAAGCCCGGCCGGAAAGGCCATCTTCCAGCTGTCTCCGGCGAAAACCGCGCTGCCCAAAGTGCCGAGAAGAGACGTTGCGGGTGTGGATCGAGGAGCGGACAGAGAGATCTCGTAAAGGGATATCGTCAGGCATACTGCCAATTTGAGGACTTCGACCAGGAACACGGCGGTCGAAGGAAGGTAACGCTGTCCGTCCACAGGGGGCATCACACGAGAGTAATGGAGGAGCTGCGCCAGAGGTCAGTCCAGAGTCCTCGATGATGTCGAGACACGTACCAATATAAAGGTAGAAAATTGAACCGTCAGCTATTTTGCACGTCAGTCTGCTTGCAGCCGCATGGCCCTCGAGGAACTTCTTACAATGCTTAAGGAGAGCTTCCGTAATGATACACCCATGACCCTGGGCGGGTTGCCCGGCCTTTCGACCCCCATGGCGCTCAAGGCGGTAGCAATACAGGCTTCAGGATGCAGGTTCGACAATACGACGCCGAAGACGCTCTGCGCCGGGCAGGGCAATCCGTCATCTAGAGGATGCAACGAACAAATCGAAGAAGGAGCGGACAGGGTCTCGCGGATGCCAGAGGTAGTTGGTCTCCTTGTCGCACGTTGGACCCGTCAGGAGTAGCGATATAGGCAGTGAAATAGAAATGACCACAAGGTCACCAGACACGCACGCAGAAATGAGTGACTTGGTCAGTAGTTTGTGTGGCAGGCAATACAGGAGGACGGGAAACTGTTGGCGAAGGTGGAATTGTTCATGCCGCGTCGATTCGCCAGGCGAGTCGCGAACCTCTCGTGCCTCGCCAGATTCGCTCCTTGGCCCTGCGTCATGCGCTGCCGGCTTTCCAACTTTTCGTTTGTGCTGTCGTGCCTGTTTAGGGCGGTGAGCGTCCAAACAGAGGGTCCGGGGGCGTCGGCCCATCGAAACGGGCTTGGTGAGCCCCGTCGACTTCGCCTATGCTCCAAATGGAGAAGCCAAAGTTTCGGCTGAGGTGATCTAGGGAGCTTCTTCATCCTCCAGCCTTGCCAGCCACATGCTCGAGGCTCAGCTCTCAGCATCTACTGTCCCATCACTGCAATGCACGGCGATTCACGAACGGATGCGTACGCTGACGCCCAAGCGAAAGTCAAACAGGAAATGGGTATCAATGTTGTATCACAGGACATGTGTTGCCCCTGGATATATTCGGCCCTCGCTGCCCTCGCCAGTCCGTAATTTTACAATTACCCAGCTCATAAGTGTCCTCCGTCATCATGGAAAGGCCGTAGCCTGAAGCCATGAGAATACCTAATGTACAAGTATGCCACCGCGAATCAGAAAGTCGTCACCAATGGCCCTAGTCGAAGTCCGGGAATACATGACAAACGAAATGCAATCAAGGGTCAAGCGTCATAAAGGAGCAGTCAGTGCGCCGTGGCAACTTTCATCCAGCCGTTGTAAGGCCAGTCGATGAAGTCTTGCGAAGAGACCTCTTCCCTCTTCGGTGGCGCTTGTAGTCTTTCCAAAGTAGCTAGGTATTGACTCTCCTTCCGACTTCGGGAGTCGTCTCTCGAACTGTTTGTCGACGTCGAAAAGAAGGTCGAGCGGCTCATCCTGTTGAGGCCGTTACCGTGCGGTTGAAGGAATCCTGACGAAGGGGCGAATGAGGACGCAATGTCGGTGTCAGGGACCACAGATGTGCCAGTCTGAAAACTGGCGATCGAGTATCGCACACTGGGATCGATGGAGGGCCCGGTCTGGAAGGTCGTGCAAGAAGCTTGATCAAAATTTGTGTCGGAAGAAGGCGATTGTACTCGCTCGAGCATCCGTCCTTGCGCCGTTAACTGTATATCAAGCGTGGTAGAGCTCCTCGGGCCCTGTTGCCTGCGTTTCAGCGGTCTTCGATCCGGTTTCGTGAGTGCCTGCATCCGTGGATCCGTGCTGGCCCTGTATGACTGCCCCAAGACCGCCTTCTTGGTCCTCATAGCAGCCAAGAGAGATTCTTCCTGCCTCGTCACACTCATCAATCTTCTGCTCTCAATGCTTGCGGTATCCGAAAGTGGGATCTCGTGGAAAGATGGACGGTGAAAAGATGCCTGGTCCGTGGTCGGTGTGGGGGGAAATGATGTGAGTAGATCGTCTTCCTCCGACATCGGGTTCGATGAGGCGTCACGGTTATACGTCGACCGGGGGTCCCGTCGCCTGCTGGGTGGTTTCGTCGGTTCCCGGGCATCACGCCCGTGCTGAGGAACGCGAACACGTTTCAGACTCGGTGTAGCTTTTACCGAACTACTCTGTTTGGTGCTGATAGCTCTAGCCGTGCCGACCTCGATATCTGATTCACCCAAGGATTCAACAGCTATACTGTCGCGTATTGCCGGGAGCGGTGTATTCCCAGATTTTGTAATTGGTGCTAGTGGTTCATCGTCGTCAGAGGAAGACAAGTCCAGAACGCTCGTTTTATGCAGGTCAGTCGAGGCCAGCGATCCTGCTTTCCCTTTTGGCGAGGTCAAGTGAGACTCATTGCGAGACAATGTAGATCTGGATGATTTGGCATTGAGTGTTGACACTCGGGGTGGTATAGCCGAAGCGGGTAATATGTGGCTTGACTCTGTCCTGGAGCTTGTGCTTCGAGCTGGGCGATCCGGCGCATGAGGAGTGATGCGAGGCTCGTCCTTTGCGACCGGTCCTATCCTCCCCCCTTCGAAAGCCATCTCAATTCCTGCAACGAAGCTAGGCTGGAGTGAGGGTTCGTGGACACTTTCATCGCCACTGCTATCACCTTCCAACCCATCGAACCAATGCTTTGCACCAGCTTTCGGCCGCCTGATATTCACCTTGTATTGGTGTGCTTCTTGCCGGGGAGCGGGGCCAGCAGAGGCCTTTGGCTTCTCCGGACTGAGGAGGGTTGGTGATCGATCAGCATTGAACCGGACGCCTTTCCTAAGTTTGGACGGGTGACTGGGTTGTGAGGAGCCGGAATATGCCACTTGGTCTGATGACCTGAGAGACCGTTGATTACCGAATCGCATTTTGCCAGGCGAGTCTGGTGACTGAGGTAGAGCGGCCGTAGGTGCCTTCTCTCCAGCCTTGTTTCCGTGCCTAGAGAGACGAAAGATCTTCAATTGTCGATTTGGGTCCTTGTCCGGTGTTGTGGGCTTGACGACCACAGGAGCACCTTTGCGAAGGGCGAAGTCTCGTCTGGAAGAATCCGATGTCTGTTGGGAAATTGCTAGAGGAGTCTTCTGAGCATCGTAGAAGGAGTGGAGTGTCGAGGATGAGCCTTGCGCTTTCAGTTGCTTGTATTGTGTCGAGCCCGTAACATCTGCCTTGAGCAGGAATTCCTCGTGCAGCAACACTGACGATGCCTTCAAATTCAGATCTCTAGATGTGTCCAAATGTTCCGTTGGCGGGTTTGAAGAGCCCAGCTCAGTCGTGGCATCAGAAAATGACAACGTTGGCAACCTAGCCGTAATGGAAGAGCTAATGCTTTGGTTACGTGCCGTATTCAGGTCGGTCTCAGTAATTCCAAGTATGTGGTGTACTTTTTGCTCGTTCCCTGCTGGCTGCCAGTCCTGTTGCCGAGCACTGGATTTGGTTCGCTTTAGAGCAGATGGCAGGCGGAATCTGTGGCCGCTACCCATATCACTTTTGCCTCGGAATTTATGCTGCGTGTCTGTTCATGCCGGCCACTATACTCTACGGCGCTCGGACGAGTGGCGATGCTCCAATTTCGCAACGGTGGACTGCCGAACGTGGACTTCGCAGAAACGACGCTCTTTGCTGAACGAAACGATATCGCAGTCCGAGGTAAGCGCAGGCGGCGGACGGGAAGGATATGACGTTCGTAGACCCGTCGTTGCGTCGTCAAGCGGAGGGAAGGGCTGTTCTTTTCCTGTCAACGTCCATGGGAAGCTATCTGTGAGCCGTGTGGGAGAAGCCGACCTGAGTGCGGTTGTGGTGTGTAGGAGGAAGTCGTCTCGGGACAACCCAGCCCGATGAAGGACGCAGCATTGGCGGCGAGGGCAACAAAGTGTACTATGTCTGATGAGCACTCAGATTGCCCGTCCAGGAATCGGTCTTGCAGGTGAGCAGCCCATCAGCTGGTGGTGGACCGGCCGGCTCCTTCAGGCGGGATGACGGGTTGGAGACAGCTCGACAGGCACAGCCAAATAGGCGCTCCGCGTGCTGATGGACAGTGACCATTGCCCCCCAAAGCCCCAAGTGTGGATGCTAAAGCATGTGGGCACCAACCTAGCCATGGGCCAGGGGTCGTCCTGCTTCGCATGCCATCCCGCACTCGGGAATCGCGTGCAGATGAAAGCCGGTGGAAGTTACAGAAGAACGAGTCCAGAAACGGCCGGTCCTGATTCGCCTGTTGAGATAGGGTTGAGGTAACATGACCGTTTTCTGGCGCAACTTCTCGGCTTCTCTCGTATTTCCGGAACGCCTCTGCCGTCTGCTAGAGCCCGTAGACTCGGCGACTGGCTGCTACGAGCGTACTATTGTAGACAGGACCCAGCACTCCCACGTCAAAGCGGACCAGCGATGGGGCTATCTTTCGTCACCTCGAATGCGTCAGGTTGCACACTCAAGCACGGCCGTTGAACTCAGGCCCCCGTAGCGCAGGCTGATCACGGCCCCTTGAGGAAAGGAAGCAACGGGCATGGAGACACTTAAGTTCTAGCGTGTATTGCGTGCCAGCAGAAATCAGTGTGTTCGACTCAGCTTGACCGCTCAATGCTCGAACGAGCCTAAGGTAGCTTCCTACGTTTCTGGGATTGCTGGGGTCGTTGCTTTGTCCTCCTCCTCTGCGAGTGGCGCTTGTTCAGGGGCAGGCCAAGGTTTTCAGTTCCGTGTACGAGTTCGAGCGCTCTGGCAAGTTACTGTGTACAGTCGCAATCCGATCCAGCCTCCACGGCGCGCACTCGCCGAAGCCACGAAAGGCCACGCGAGGAGGCGTTGCATAATATTCTCCGTGTGGAAGCCTGAATGGTTGGCTGAGTCCAGACCACTGAATCCGTAGCCATGAATAACTCAGCAATACGAGTACTGGGTAATCACCCGATGGACTCAAATCTCCACCATGTGGAAGTCGATGACTCGATTCCTCCTCCAAATAGCTCGCGCATTTCGCATGTGTGTACGGAGTACTCCGTATGTCTCAGCCTTTCAGACACAGTGCTGCGATAACAGATTGAGCGGGTTGTCGCAGAGCCGATTGTGTTTGAGATCAAGTCGTTACACAGTACGGAGTCGTACAGACAGCTAATCTATCTCGCACGGAGTAGGTCCGACAGTCCCCAGACGACCTTGAGCTCCTCACGCACGGTCTAGTGTATTCCGGCAGCTCAGAGGCTTCTGTCCAGAATCAATAGGCTTGATCGCATTCCGGTTCAGATGCACAGGAAAGGCTGCCCAGCTTGCCGCGATGTCCACGTGGTTTGCCTCGTGGCCGCCCGCTGTTTGTCGCACCACAACAACCGCTTCGCATCTCGCAAGGCGCAGCTGACCGGTTACCCCTTTAAGTAGCCTGCACGTTGTTACAGGCAGTCCTACTCCTGCTTCTTTGAGCACAATATTCACCTCCTGGCACATATTTCGGCAACAACCTCCTCAGTCTACAGTCGTGGTGGATTCGACAGTGCTTGGATCAGTGTTGTACGGCATATCGTCGCGCACTATGCTTGATGGTTCGCCCATGCTCATGACGCTGGCTGCCGATGGTGAGTAGTCAACGTTGATCAACATGCGGGAGATGCTGATCTTACGTCGGCGTATTGGTGTTGCTGTTGCTGCATTGTCAATTGCCTCCGTAGGTAAATCGCTTGAGGCAGGGCGGTATATCCAGCGCAGAACAGGGTCACCGAACTCGTCGTATGATACCAATTCTTCACACCCTTCGGCTCTTGCGAAATCCCGTCCATGAGCATATGCTTCAAGCGCTTGCATAAGCTCAGTGGTGCGTTTCATAGGATCTTCACCGCCATGAGAGACATCATAGAGATGATCTATCGACGCCAAGGCACCGGTGCACTTCTCTTGGATCTGGTCCAGCTCTGACTGTTTCAACGATCGAACCTCGAAAAGTCGTGGTCCCCGACGCAAAAGTAGGTGTTCTTCTACCAAGCGATCTGTCACGCGATCGAAGACATCTTTGGTCCATCGCACAGGGTTCAGCCTGGTTCGCAGGAAGCCGTCACCGATTCGCGATCCGGATTTGACTTGAGTTGTCAAGTAGTTGACGGCCCGCCGCAAGAGGATGGTGGACAACGGAGATTCTCCGTTTGTTGGCTTCCCAGCGGACAACAGACAGGTATAGCAGAAACGCTCATCAGCAGCGATAGCTACGGGAGCTGTTTCGTCATATCCGTAGCATTCTCTATGCTGCCATCCGTCGCATACTTCACAATATAGCTAATCAAGTCAGTCTAGTGAAGAGCATTCGATTAGCGGTTCCCTTACCATTCCCCTGGATTGTTTCGGACTTCCGCATTCACAGCTGATGTTGGTCGATCGACTGATTCGTTTGATCTTTCCTTCGGCGAGTGAGTCTCGGTCGAAGATAGCTCCACCTCCAGCTGTCTTCTCTCTCTGAACTGCATAGCAGTGTACCAGAAGCTCCGCTAGCTTCGTCACGGCAAGACGAGCTTTTACCACCTTTGGCGAGCTCTGTGTCACAGCTGCGAAGTCAAGTAGCGAATCGCTCGCGCCGGCCGTTTCCAGCTGAGAAAAGCTCATGTTTCTCAGGCTTCGAGGTCTGCTAAGCGCACTGGCTCGGGTCGCCCCTGCCATGATATCCCGCTGAGAGTCTTGTGGGCCCGTGCGTTTCGCGCGCTTGCTCTCGGAAATTGGGGCACCGGCGCGGCGTTTAATCGCAGGAGTCGATTCTTTCAGTGTCGAGAGCAGATTGTTGCTGTGACTAGATGATGTCTTTTGCATCGCCTGAAGGTGCTTGCTCATCTCGGTATCTTGGAGATCAACAGACGAGTCCTGAGTTTCCGAGTCTGCCAAACGGACAGTGACACGGATCTGGTAGTGACCTGACTCCAACACGCCAACAACATCCTCTGTGCCTCCCCCCAACGAGTCGCACACTGCTTCAGCATCCCCCTCTTGGAAGTCGGTCTTGTCCACAAATCCTGGTGGCTGATATAGGGTGGGACACGACTTGTTGTAAGCAAGGCTCATTCCCAGTCTGCGGTGGGCTGTCAACAGTCAGTCAAGTGAACCAGCTGCAGGGTTCTCTGAGCAAACCTGGAAGACGAGGCAGGTCGCGCAGTGATCGGAGCAATGCTCGGATGCTCGCTTTGAAGCTCTTGTGGACGTTCTCCAGGGTGAACGTGTGATTCATGGGGTTCACTTGAACGCTACTGACGCGCCCCTGCTCATAAGCAAAGACGAAATGATAGTTCTCCAGGACGGAAAGTTGGCCTTGTGACGACTTGGTCACAAAAACCTGGAGATCCTCCAGGTAGCCACGTTCTAGAGCGTCGAAGACTCCTTTTTCCTGGACGCTCGTCAGCAACACAAAGGAGGGGAGGGATTTTTACACCTACAAGCATTTCTAGTATCTGGTCAGCGCGTCGGTGACCGCCAGGGACGAGAATTTTGACTTCTTGACCCTCGCTGGCCGCTTTTTGGGCAACAGCTTGGAAAGACGAATACAAGGCTTTTGCATTCTGCTCATCGTCGACTACGATTTGGTCAATATATCGAGTGCAGAAACACGGTGCTGTCCACGGAATGAGCTCTCTTGTATGAGCGATACATGCCAGTGCTGCATTGAGGAATATCTGAGCCAAGGCGAGGCTTTGGTCCTGAGACAGGAGTCGCTCCGGTGGATGAGTCAGAAGCAGTTGCTGTGCCATTATGAGAAGCAGTTGTATGGCAATTGCATTTGAGATGAATCTAACAAAGCTGATGCAAGTAAAGTCAAAGTGAAGGAAACTAGCCGCGGAGTGTTGGTTTTCTCGACCTGAGCATGACAACCAGAAATCACCCTCTCACCATCGCCTTTGCGACACCAACTGGAGCCGAGTTTCCAGTAGCTTAAGATGCTCCATCGTAAGCTCTCGTGTTGACTGGATTGCCTCCTGGGACCTGCGCGCAACTATTTGGGCCATGAGACAGACGGGACAGATAACCAGCATCGCCTGGTTCATCTGCAGAAGCTCCATGCAGACAGTGCACTTTATGAGCTCCTCCTCGGCTGTTTGTGCTTTGTCGCCTACGCCGTTATTCCGACTCCAAGCAAATGTAATGGGAGTAGAGTATCGACGACGGCGACGCGGAATTTCGCTGCCCAGAACTCGTTACATAGTAAACTGAGTCTGATCCACCATAGCGATTGACTAGTTCTCCCCTCCTGTGGCAGGACCAGCCATGCTCGCTCTTATGAACGCATCGAAGTAGGCAGAACGCTGACGTCGCCACTGGTAGTAATGTACACAAGGCTCGAGACAGCTTGGTCATCTGGTGGCAAAGCGTCAGGAAAACCTTTTGTTGCGGTTGCCCGGAAAGCCACATCTTGACTGATGCCGGTGGCGCGGCGCCTGGGAGCCAACCACCACTCAGGCTCTCAGGAAGCGCGGTTGCGTCTTCTCCGCTCCATCACACTAAGCGCCACAGTACTGGCACACTGGCACCTAGAGGGAGCCGCTCTCGTCGACGGCTGGATTGGGTTGGTCCGCCCGCGCTCCCACCCTCAAGTCTCCGACACACTGGCATACCAAACACCACATTGTTTGACGGCCCAGATTCACTGTACGCATCCGCCCTTCCTTCGAGTTCCCTGCTAGCACAGTGAAGTGGCAGAGGAGGGCCAGCACGAGCTTCCGCCGATTTGTGCATCCAATATTTGCAAACCTCAATTGTCCTTCACTTGTAAGAGCCTAACCGAGGGCACACACCCGCACACACGAGCCGGCTTCACCACCCCGATCCTGCAAATCTACGCTTTCACTCATTATATAAGACTTCACAACCATCGACACGGGTGGAGAAAAGATCATTCTATGATAGCCACTTGTTGTCGCTAGACTCAAACCAATCTTACTCTTTCGCATACACGACGCGTCTCTCCGATTACCCTGCCAGATGATCCTCGACCAAAAGGCAAGACGGTGACAGCGCCAGTTAGAAGTGCAATGGAGGACGAAGAAATGATGGAGGAGGGCCGACACGACCATTATCGTCCCCGTCCCAGGAGCCATAGACTGGGGAAGCGTCCACGAAGCAAAGAAAACTACGTACATGGCACAATGACTACGGACGCGAATGCCCTATTGGGCCAGTTCTCATTTGCACCAGCTACCCAGACCACCGTCGTGACTACAACCACGACCACAACCACGAAGTTCCCTCCGTTGCGTATGCGGCAACCGCGTCGGATGCAGGATCTAGACCTCAAGCAGTACCCCCTCGCAGCTACCCCCACACCACCAAGTCTGAAGAAGATACACTTTGAAATAGGCGGGAAGCAGTCCATTTTCCATGAAGCAGAAGACACGACGCTGGCATTGGAACAGTTTGAAGAGGAGCAGCGAACTCTCCGGAACGTTCACGGGACGGTCGAGACTGTGGAGACCTTTCAACCATGGACAGAAGCTCCCCATGATGGCTCAATCGTTGGCGCCCTACAACGAAGACCACTGAGAAGGCCTGCTTCACCCGAGTCCATCACGGATAACGAAGAGCATGTACAACCGCAGGCAGCATCTTTCGCATCACATCGTTCCGTTTCGACCACGAGTCGTCATCGCAGCTCTCTGGGGTCGAGTTCCCGGTTCCACGCCACGAATCCCGTCACTCCAGACAGCGGTCCGAAACCTTGTGGTGGGACCAGTAGGCGGTTGACACGAGACACACCTAACCTGAGAGGCAGCACTACTCTGTTACCTTCCCCGAGCATAGATCAGCAGCCTACATTCCAGCATGCACCACCTCTGTCGCCAAAACCCAGTCAGCAAAATGGACTAGTCGCAGACAATGGAGCAGTCTCGATAGTCGACCGTGCTCAGCGCAATCGACGGGCCCCTCGAGACCCCTCACAGGATACTGCAGTGCCGACTCCGCCCATTGACGAAGAGGCTGAGTTGTCTTCAGCAGGGCCTCTGGGTAGACGTGCTTTGTCGTCAGTACCAGCTCGACTACATGTTGCAGAAAGTCCGTCAGGGCAGGACGGAAGTCTTCCTAGTCCGAGCCTCTCTCCTGTTACGGCTGCGGCAACACTGCAGCATGCTGGCTATTTCGCAGATGTGGATTCGAATTCTGAAATTGCCTCCCAATATGAGGATGTTCAAAGAACTGCTATGCTACAGCGGCGGTCGCCAGATCCATTCAGCTTGGGTCTAACCGATGATCCTCAGGCATCGGACGACAATAGACACCTCTCGCGCTTCAGCAGCGGCTCGGTGGCGGAAATTCCGGCGCTCATTGACTACTTCGAACTCATCCCGGACGAGATGAAAAGTTATGTGATGCACCAGCTGCTGCGGCGTTGCCCTAAGCCTACGCTGCAGGTGATCGCAGATGCGGTCAATCCCGCCCTGAAATGCGATTTCCTCGCCACCCTCCCGCCCGAATTAGCCCTCAATATCGTCAGATTTCTCGACCTCAAAAGTTTGTGCAAGGCAGCACAGGTGTCGAAGAAATGGCGACAGATTATCAACAGCGATGAGAGAACCTGGAAGGAACTGTTCGAAGCTGACGGCTTTACTATGCCGGAAGGAGAACTACACCAGGCCATCATGCAAGGTTGGGGTTGGCAAGACCCTTATGGCCCATTTGGATATGAGGAGGACCTAAGCTACACAAATAAATCCGAGACAGAGGCGATCGCATCCCCCCCTTCGACGTCGCAACCTCGCAGTCGATACGACGGAATCCTGCGACGATCAAAGCGGAAGGCCTCCACAGTTCTCTCCAATCGCCACAAGCAGATCAAGCGGAAGAACAAATCCCGACAAGACATGGTCGACGTCACATCTGCTGACTGGATGAACCAAGTCTCTTCGGCAGAAGGCCCTTATAATGCGGCTAATGCGGCAATTCTGGCAGTACCGCATCCGAACGTCCCTTTCCCCAGCCTGCGGGGTCTGCATCTCTACAAATCTCTGTATCGTAGACACTATCTCATCAGGAAAAACTGGATGTTCGAAGATACGAAGCCTCAGCACATCGCGGCCCATGCCCATGACACGCACGTGGTTACTTGCCTGCAATTTGACACAGACAAAATCTTGACTGGAAGCGATGATAACAACATTAACGTCTACGAGACCAAGACTGGTGTCTTGCGAGCTGTTCTCTCTGGACACGAAGGCGGCGTTTGGGCTCTACAGTATGAAGGGAACACACTCGTTTCGGGATCCACCGATCGGTCAGTCCGTGTCTGGGACATTGCGGAGGCTCGTGAGACTCATGTCTTTCGCGGCCACAACTCAACAGTGCGATGCCTACAGATTGTGTTTCCCGTGAAGGTCGGCGAGACTGCAGATGGCAAGCCGATCATGATGCCAAAGCAACCATTGATCATCACTGGCTCCCGTGACTCAACCTTGAGAGTGTGGAAGCTTCCGAAGCCGGGCGACCCATCCTTCATCCAGACCGAAAATGAGGCTGATGCCGACGATTGTCCCTATTTTGTCCGGACGTTAAGCGGTCATCAGCATTCTGTCCGCGCCCTTGCGGCCTATTGTGATACGTTGGTCAGCGGAAGTTACGACTGCATGGTTCGAGTGTGGAAGATATCGACAGGCGAGACCACTCATCGCTTGATAGGCCACGCACAGAAAGTCTACAGCGTAGTCCTTGACCATGAACGAAACCGATGCATAAGCGGCTCGATGGACAACATGGTTCGAATTTGGGACCTCAACACTGGCTCACTCAAGTATATGCTCGAAGGCCATACGTCTCTTGTCGGCTTGCTTGATTTGAATTGCGACAGACTTGTCTCTGCCGCGGCGGACTCGACTCTAAGGATCTGGGACCCTGAAACCGGACAGTGCAAAGCCACGTTGAGCGCCCATACAGGCGCAATCACATGCTTCAAGCACGACCACCAGAAAGTCATCTCTGGCTCGGATAGGAACCTCAAATTGTGGAACATCAAGACTGGCGAGTGCATCAAGGATCTCCTTTCTGACCTCAGCGGTGTCTGGCAAGTGAGGTTCGATGAGAGACGCTGCGTTGCAGCGGTACAGCGGGATGGACTAACATACGTCGAGGTTAGTTACCAACCAAGTCTTCGGGAGATCACACACTGATAGCATCTTTTGCAGATTCTCGATTACGGCGCTGCTCGCGACGGTGTGCCTGAGCGTGATCTTGGCCGACGAATACTTGTTGACGCTAACGGCAAGGAAGAGCGTAATGACGACGGCGAATTTCTAGAACTTGAAAGCAGCAACGACGCATGACCCAAGCGAAATGCCACGACTCTGTTTCGAAAGCGAGATACCCTCTTGTTGATGGTCACGAATTGAAGGTCATCTTTTCTTCTAGCATGTTGGTTGGTCCACGGTGGTTTGAGGACAGCTTCCTCCTGTGATGAACTGCATCTTTTCCCGCCAATCATTCTGCTCCCAACTCCGCTTGCAATAGAGGCGAGTTGGGGAATATCGGCATCGGGCGTTGGGCGTTGGGATGTCGGGCATTGCGGGCATTTCGTCTGTTTGAACTCGAGATGACATATCATTGCTTGATGATCAGCATCAACACCGCGTTGGGCCACTTGGGAATGCAGGTACTGTGCTGTTTTGACGAGCGATGTTGGGATGAGATCCTGGCCTTACCTAGGTACAGTACTTGGGAGTAGGCTCGGCCGGGTGGAAATTCTTTGTGCACTGGGGGGATCCCATACACGCATGACACATACATGGTTGTTTGACGAATATGATACTCTTACGACGTGCAAAAGATATGGGCTAGCGACGGCGTGAGCTATTGCTTCGGTGTCTGCTTTCGTTCTCTCGTTGTGCTTGTGTTTCCCCGGTGCTTCTGGCCGTCCCACTACCAGACATTCCTTCAGCTCCATCGAGAATTGGGCCCTCCGCTACAAAGTACTCGTACATATACTGTATATGCTCCTGTAGGTATGCTTGCTACTCCGGGTATTATGTGTATGCGTATCTCTGTATGTACGGAGTACTCTTCTGGGCACCTCCGACATAAGACCAGAGACGAAGAAAGCACGTACGTACGTACGTACGTACACACGAGTACTCACAGACGGATTGCAGGATGCCATAGTCTTGACAGGGCGGTAGATATTGTGCCATGAATGAATGAATGATTGATACATGAAATATATACCTACGTATTGAGTACTCCGTACTGTACTTACAGTACCTAGGTACCTACCTTAGGTAGAGGAGAGTTACATTTACTTCTTGCACACTCCCTATCGTACATCCCACCATCCTGATCTATCCTCCCGCTACCGCTACCGCTACCGCTACCGCTTGCGCCTTGCCTTTTGCCCCTGCGCGGGTTCGGCAAACATGGACTCGAATGCGTCAATGCCTCGGGACACACCTTTGCCCACCATGGCTGGCTCTTTGGGTCGTTGAGCCTGGGCCTGGGCCTTGCCTTGGCGAGCTGCAGGCTGGCCACTCGATGCTCCGGCCTTCGTGCGCTGTCGAGCGGAGCTTTGAGATTGCTTCGACTTGGCTTTGGTCTGCTTGGGCGGTTCTGCAAACATGGCTTCGAAGGCATCGAGGCCAAGCGAGACGCCTTTGCCGGTTAGAGGTGGTTGTCGTTGTCGTTGTTGTTGCTGTCCTGATGCGGGTTTGCGACTGGATTGCGGTGTTGTTGTTGTTGGGGCTGGTGCGGCTTTCTTTTGCTGCGTCTGGCGCCGGTTCGGTGCCGGTGTATGTTGTGGAGAGAGCTCGGCGAATATGCTTTCGAAGGCGTCGACGCCTTGGTCATTGCGTCTGGCCGGGGCAGGCCTCTGGGTCACCCGGTTGGTGGACGGACGAGTGGTTTGATGGGAGAGAGTCGGGTCTCTATCATCCTGTGGTGAGGCCGCATGCATGTGCTTTTGCAGTTCTTGGTAGGCCGAGTCGAGCTGGTCCTGCATGTTTGTAGGAGCCTTCCATCTGGCAGTTCCGGGAGCGTCCGACGTCAGGGGGTCAAACACTCTAGGAGGGTTGCGGTTGGGTTGGGAAGGAGATGCCGCCGAAGAGCCGGCCTCTGAACCAGTGCCCAGGATCTCACGCATGAATTCTCGCAGACCAAGGTTTGGCGGCGATTCTGACGACGCTGAAGCCCCGGTGTCGGCTGATTTCTCGGCCTGAGTGTCATCGCCGCGTTTCTGGAGAAGGTGTGAGATCTCGGCCTGGATTTTCTCTTGCGGTCGTTGTGTGGCGCTCTTATCGATCACTTTGTGTACAGCAGCCTTGTCCATGGCGTACCATTCAAGATTTGCGGCCTTGAGGATGGCCCACTGTAAGTTCCTGATGCCGAAACCATCGTCTTTGGGCTTTGTCCCCGCGGCTTCTTGGAGAGAGCCCACGGCAATGATTTCACCTAACATCAAGGCAGACTTGTCTCTGTTGGCCTGATCTTTCAATCTCTCAAGGACCTCTCGTATCTCGCTTTCGGATCCACCGCTGCTGCGCAAACGGTCACATTTTGTGGCGATGAGCTGGAAGGGGATGCCGAGCTTCTGGAAGATTTCAAGCATGTGGCGATCAGCAGCCATGATGCCGTGCACGCTGTCCACGAGTAGAAAGGCCCTCCGTACATTCCTTCGGGCGTTCAGATACGAGACGATTTGAGTGCCCCATTCAGATCTGCTTCCAAACCCGTAGCCGGGCATATCGACGAGTGTGACTTTCGGTGTCACGTCTCCATCCCACCCCTTTATGGCTCCCCCATCCGCCTCCTTTGCTGCCAACCCCCATGCAGCCATTACCTCGGTCATGCCGGGAGTGGTGCTGACGCGGTTGAGGTCTATCGACGTGACAGCATTGATCAGTGTAGATTTGCCAACGTTGGACCGGCCGAGGAAGACGACTTCGGGAACCAGGATTTTCTGGGCTGAGGATTTCTTGGAGCGGCGCCATAGTTCCGATGTCTTCCAGAGATCGCCTGTCCATAATCGAGAAGGCTTGTGGTTCTTGAAGAAGTGCGCCGCGGCTGCTAGGTTCTCCTTGGTCGGGGGTTGTGTATCCCAGTACCAAGATGGTCCTATGTCTACCTGCGACAAGGATGATAATCTCCGCCGGCCATTCTGTAGCTCGGCCAGACGCTGTTGGAAGAGGTATCGAGACACGAAGCGACAATTAAAGCAGGTCGAGGTCTGCATTTAAGCTGGGAGGAACAGTGGGCGTGGGTGATAACGAGCGAGGATCGGGTCTGAATCAACGCGAGAAATTTTGAAGACTGCGGCGCGTGTCCAGCAAGATGGATTTCCGCCAATCCGGGGGCCCCAAGTGAGGGACGCCTGTTAGCCGCATCTTGGTCACGCCTAACACCTGAGTCTCGCTCATGAATCATGCCACAACTCGCTGTGTCTTCATCTCGTGCGGTGTCGAGGCATCACAATGATCAACGCTGTGCTGGTCTTCAATAACAACGGTCAGCCTAGACTGACCAAGTTCTACTCCCAGCTTGTGAGGATGAGTCTTTCTGAGCAGGGGCGCAACGGTCGCTGACTCCTCTCTTCTGTAGGACACGGCTACGCAGCAGTCTCTTCTTTCGCAGATCTTCGCTCTGGTGTCGGCTCGTCCAGCTTCCGCCTGCAATTTCCTCCCTCTTCCTCCGTTGTTGGCTCCATCGGGCAACACTACTTCGCCGGACGCTCCCACCCAGATCACCTATCGTCATTATGCAACGCTCTACTTCATCCTGATATCCACCTCCACCGAGTCACCCCTGGCTCTTCTTGATTTCATCCAAGTCTTCGTCGAGGCGCTCGACAGGCTGTTCGAAAATGTCTGCGAACTTGACTTGATCTTCGGGTTTGAAACATTGCACGCGGTACTCAGTGAAATGGTTGTGGGGGGCGTCGTTGTCGAGACGAACCTGGAAAAGATCGTCGACGGGGTCAGAACCAGCGAGGGAACAAAGGGAAAGAGGAAGGCTGTTAACGCCCGCGAGTCTTCTTCCTTTGGTCGAGGTTCTGGGTTTGCGGGTCTGGGCTGGTCTACTGGCACAGGAAGTAGCTGGAGATGACAAGACCTACCATGTGTCTGTTTGATGCGGACACTGCATCGCTGGGCAAAGCACGGGTGGTGAGCGAATGGGACGCGCTGCCTTGGCGTTCAGACGGAAACCCTCGTGCGAGGCTATCAATGAGTCCGCACTGCGGGCCACCTGTGCAAACTGCCCACAGGGAGCGACCATTCACACCACGTCGGACATCATCCCTCGTGAGCAGAGGTCCAAGAGCCCTTCGATGCCCTCGCCAAGAGGCTGGTATGCGGGAGACTTCAAGCGACGGCATGTACTGCAAAGATCAGGAGACTTTGCGGCAGGCGGCGTCTACGGGGTCAATCAGAGACACTGTTCACGTGCGGGCGCGACCATGGTCACTCGTCCAAGTGGTGTACAGGCAGCTTGACTCCATTTGCTCTCGGCTCGACCCAGGCACACGCAAGGCTCATGGCACGGGCCAATGCCCGCTCCCGTTACCGATCTGCTGGAGGTGGTGTACGGGCTGCCGAGAGAACATATCTCTCAGTGCTCACTCTTTCTCGTGTGATGTCACGCTTATCGAGCACCGGATTGGAGAATTCCGTGACGAATATGGCCTGCGAGCAAATAAGGTGGGGGAAGCCATTCGGATCACAGTCAGATACAGGGACATTGAAGGTGCCAGTATGCAGTAGCGAGGGATAGGATCGATAGAGCATGTTAGCTCTCCCTCTACAGGGTGATATCGAACGGGCACGGTTGGGTCGAGAATGCTCTACGACCTGAAGGGGAACCCGATGCCGTTATGCCCCCTCCGCCTGGGCGCTTAAGACGAAGATCTGAGTGGAGGGTCGCGGCCGGCTGACCTCGGATCTTGGACTGTTGCGGTTAGATCCGTTTAGCCAGGAACCCCGCCTTTCAGGTACCGGCGAGCAACCAACGGCGTTTCCAGCGCTGCGGAGCCGCTAACCAAGAAACATTGCGATGGGAATCGAGTGCTTTCACTTCTCATTCGTCTCTGGCTGTGCTTCACCTGCATCCCACATCCTTCTCTTCACACTCTCCCACGGCTCACCGCGCACCAATCATGCCCGAAGGCGCCGCGACCGTCTCCTCCCAGCAATCATGGTCAGGTACATCTACCGCCGTGATCGCTCTTCGCGTGCAACAAGCTGCTTCATGTCCCTCAGGCCAGGGGGTCAGCAGTTTCAGGCGCCTCGAAACTGGATCATGTTGAGAGGTGATCTCCCTATACAAAGATGAGGTGCTCATCCTCGGTTTTGGCCCTCTCCATCTTCGTCTTTGTACTGGCAATCGCCCCAGCCAGAGCCCGACCACATTCTATCTGGGACGTCAACATCAACAACGATCCTGCCCCTCCACCAGATCAGGGACCGCCCATCTCCGTTGGGGCCCTGCGAGATCAATCCAAGCTCAAGTACGAAGTCATTGGCATTGTTGGAGCTTACGTCGTCTGGCTCATCGTCACATTTGTACTGCTTTTCTTCGTGGGCAAGAAGCTGCGCCGAAGAGTCCAGACGTCCAACCAGTCCTTGAGCATGGAGATCATGAGCAAACCAGCCCCGCTAGCCAACCAGGCCGGCAGGCCCGTTGAGCCGCCGTTGAAGAGCCCCGGCAAAATGGCGAGCCTCCGGTCATGGGCCAGCGGCAAGTCGCATGCATATAAACCGTCCAACATCAGCGTCACATCAACCATCGACGAGAAGATCCTCCAGGCAGACAAGGCGAAGAACATGGATGAAATGGCCCGGCTGTACGCTGCTGTGATGCAACACGACGAGGAACAGTCTCAGAACGCCAGAAGCAGTGGGCAGACATCACCCAGGACACCCAACATCCCGCCCCAATACAGCGTGCCTCCCACCCCTAGGTCCATTGCCCTTCCGCCTACACCAAGGTCGCCTTACTACCGCCCAGATATCATTGGAACTCTGTCACCGAGGTCGCCGAGATCTCCACAATATCCTCCAGAATTCCAGCATCTACGACAACAAGAGACGGATGCACAAGGCGAGGTCTATATCGAGCCCAAGTCTCCGAGATCGCCGAGGTCTCCAAGATTGGCTCACCCTCTGGCTCCCACTCCTGCTGAAGACCCGCCGACAAGGTTGGCTCACCCTATGGCCCCAACTCCTGCCGAAGACCCATCGACACGGACAGCGTCTCAAACCAGTTCTCGCAAGAAGGTTTCGCCTCTGTCCTTTATCTCTGGTGAGAAGAGGAGACCCAGCAACATTTCAGTCCGGGGGCAACCCATTTCGCAACCCCTCGGCTCAGCCGCTCTGTCAGATGTGTCCTACATCGACGAAAGTCAAGCTTCGCCCCGATTCTATAATCCCGGTCCCCCTCCGCCAACTCCGGGCCAGAAGTCCGCAGTGACTGTGACGCAGGACGAAGTTGGGCGGAGGACGCCGGGAGCTCTGTCTCTCGCGAACACTATGGGCTCTGGCGGGTCCACCAGTTCCAACAGTCTCCCGTTCAGGCAGTTCTACAACGAGACCTTGAAGAGCGCTCCCGCAACCAAAACGACCTTTGTCGGGGTGCGTGAGAGTATCATCGGCGTTCACCCCAAGACCGGGGTGCCTCAGACGCCATACAGTCCTTACATGCCCTTCACGCCCATGACGCCCATTACGCCGCGGTCACTCGTGACCAAGAAGGAGATGAAGAAGAACAGGAAGAAGGAAGGCCTGAAGGTGCTCAGTGAAGACGACATGGTCATGAGCGACGAGGACCTCTGGTCGCCCATGAAATGAGCGGTCAACCGAGGGCTGGTGACTTGCCTGACCCTTTCTTACTACTATTTTCTCATTGTTGTTTCCTTACAACGAGTATGATCTTGAGCGCCTCGCTCTTCGCTCCTTCGATTGAGGAAAGAAGGAACGACTGCCAACGTGCAGATGTACATTGAAGCCGCCTGACAATGGCGAGATAGATATACCCAACCACAGCCAATTCGCGATGAAAGGCTGTACTGCCGCAATGTCTCTGTCATGCAATGCGCGCAGCATTTAAGACAAGTCCATCCTCATGAAGAGTAGCAGTGTACCTCGTGATCTCAATTGCCGCCACAGCCGACCTCTGCAGACAAAGCCAACAAGAATACACAGTAGTCATGCATGTTCAGAAGCTGCTGGGAGCCTCATGTCCATTTGTGTAGCCAGTGGGTGGAGCAGATGCCCTCTTAGCGCAGTTTCCACCGCAGCAAATACTTTGTACATGTCCCGACACTCCCACCGGGACGTGTCGCGTCCGTGATATTCAACCTCTCCCTGGCAGCAGTCTGGATGATACCCCTCCAAGATGGCGTCGAGATCTTCGAAATGGACCTCCGCAGACGACGACCAAGAATCAGCAGCAGCCCTCGCGCAGCGGAAGAAAGAGAAGAAGGAGAGAAGAAGACTCAAGGAAGAGAGAGCCAGGAATGCAACACAGCAGCTTGACCCTCCGACCGACGCCACAGGCAGCGATGAACGACCTACCAAGCGCCAACGAACATCACCCGAACAAACAGACGCTCCCGCAGCAGTGACAGCGCCGAATGCTCAGAGCAACACAGAAGACGGTGCCAACATCCTCCAGTTCCCCCACCGACAGTTCGGCCCGTGCGGCCATGTCGACCGGTTCGAACTCCTCAACGATATCGAGGAAGGGTCGTACGGCGTGGTGTCGCGAGCCCGGCGAAAGACAACCGGCACCGTCGTGGCCCTGAAGAAGTTGAAGATGGAGCACACGAGCGACGGGTTCCCCGTGACGGGTCTCCGAGAGATGCAAACGCTCCGGGCGTGTCGACACGCCAACATCGTCGAGTTGCAGGAAGTCGTCATGGGCGACGGCGGAAGGCTGAAAGAGTAAGTCTACGTTCTTCCCTCTCTACCACCCCCCTCCTGGAAAGGCACGGATCTACCCGACGATTTTAACCATGTGTCGGCCTTTGCCCGGTCTGTTTACAGTGTCAATGTCTACCTCGTCATGGAGTTCGTCGAACACGACCTCGCGACCCTACTCGGCGAGATGGCGGAGCCGTTCCTGCCGTCCGAGATCAAGACGCTGACGCTCCAGATCGTGGCGGGCGTGGAATACCTGCACCGGAACTGGATCTTGCACCGCGACCTGAAGACGTCGAACCTGCTGCTGAACAACCGCGGCGAGGTCAAGCTCGCGGACTTTGGCATGGCGAGGTATACGTCGCGGCCGCCGCCGCCGAAGCTGACGCAGCTGGTCGTCACGCTCTGGTACCGGGCCCCCGAACTGCTGCTCGGCGCCGACGAGTACGATTTCGCCATCGACATCTGGAGTGTCGGCTGTATCTTGGCCGAGCTGCTCACCAGGGAACCGCTCTTCCAGGGCCACAACGAGGTCGGCCAGCTGTCCCGCATCTTCACCCTGTTGGGCCCGCCGACCAAGCACACCTGGCCGGGATATCAGTCCCTGCCGAACGCCAAGGCACTGCACCCTCTTCTGTCCAACCCGAAAGCCACGGCCAAGACGACGACCAACACCCTCACGGCGTCCAAGTTCCCGTATCTCTCCACGTCCGGCCTCCGGCTGCTGTCGTCCCTGCTCAGCATCAACCCGGCGTCACGGCCTTCTGCGACGGAAATCCTCAACCACGCTTACTTCAAGGAAGACCCGCGACCGAAGGCCAAGGAGATGTTCCCGACGTTTCCGAGCAAGGCGAACCAGGAGAAGCGCAGACGGAGAGATACGCCCCAGGCGCCGGTCAGAGGGGATGCCCCGAGACTGGACGAGCAGGATCTTCAGGGGCTCTTTGCGGGACAGGCCCAAGAGGAGCAGGGAGCGGGTTTTGCGCTGAGACTGGGGTAGCCGACATGGGTTCCACGACGTTCGACTCATAGATCCCGAATCAAAGCAAGAATCAGGACTATGGTCAGAATCATGGTCAGACTCGGATCCGGCATCAAGCATCAAGCATCAAGCATCAAACATCTTACTTCGTCGTGTCTACTCTCTGTTTCTTACCTCGTCGTGTCTACTCTCTGCTTTTCCGTCGTATTTTCTCTAGCTGCGCTTTTTTTCCCCCTTCCCATCCTCAACGCTCTCATCTATGTCTGGACCTCGTAGGTGAACATGCATACGTCCGAGTCCACAGAGTCATATATCGTCTCGCATGATCCCGCTACGTGGTCATGTCATGAGATCTTGATCTTGCTCTTGATCTTGCTCTTATGATCCATGCGCTACTACTACTACTACTCCTCCTCCTCCTCCTCGTCGACATTCTCGAACAAAAAGCTCGGCTGCCCAGGGACGGCGTGCTCGACGATCGAAGGCAGACCCTCTCGATTGTCCTCTCCGACCTCGACGATTTTGACCTCTTTACAGCCCGTCGTCTTCATCATCAGGCCCCTCCTCATCTCCCGGAGGATGTCGACCTCGTTGAAGGGCAGTTTCCGCTCAAACACGACCTCCTTGGCCTCGCCTTGCACGAGGAGTCTCTTCTTGAGTGCCTGGACAAAGGGCATCGCCTTCTTCATCTCGGGCCCTTTGCCCAGCTTGGCGACCTGGCCGTTGATCGCCTTGTCGTCGTCGAGCGTGCTGTTCTCCAGCGCCTGCCGCACGAGCTCGACGTACTTGTCCTGCCAGGCGGGAAAATTCTTGGCCACGAAGATGGTGATGCGCTTGGGTTTGCGCGGGTCAAAGGCCGCGGATCGGCCCTTGGCCATCTTTTTCGCGGCCTGCGCCTCGGCCGAGGTGATGTTCGACGACGTCGTCTTCACGTATTCTCGCGCCGCGGTGAGCGAGGGGTCCGCCTGCGGGACGTCGGTCGGCCAGTGGGCGTGTTGGATCGAGCGCGGCTTGTGCAGCACCTCGAGCCACATGTACTCGGCCCAGTGCGGCGCGATGGTGCAGATGAGCAGGGCTTGCAGTTCGACGTAGCGGAGCACCAGCGGCCGGGAGAGCGCGTTTCCAGAGGAGATGCAGGCTTCGCGGTAGAAGTCTCGAGCCGATTGGAAGTCGTAGAGGGCCGATTTGAGGGCGACTTTGTAGTTGGTGCTGCATTGAGAGTGGTTAGTTTTGTACTCTCTCTCTCTCCCCCTGTGTTTGTCTGTGTCATGGGACTCTGAAACTTACTCCGAATAATGCTGGTATGCTTCATGGACCAAGAGGTTCATCTCGTCTTCAAACATTTTGTCCCAGATGACCTCGCCTTGGGTTGTGCGCAGTCCGTCATCCTTGAGCGTATCCTCGATCCACTCCTTGAGGGTGTACATCCGCATGATCGCGGCGTTGGCACCTTTCTCCTCGAAGTTGGCGTCCTCCATGCCGTCGCCTGCGTCGGCGAGTGCTATCCGCGTCGCATCGGCTCCGAATTTCTTGACCGCCTGGCTAAGAGTCAAGAAATTGCCGGTCGACTTGCTCATCTTGTCGCCGTTGAGCAGCAAGTGGCCATTGGACCGGACAGACCGTGGCCAGTATTCTCGAGGGAACAGGGCAAGATGGATATAGAGGAAGAAAGTGAGATGATTGGGGATCAAGTCTTTGCCAGAGGATCTCATGTCGAGAGGATACCAGTATTCAAAGGACCGCCGGAGTGTTTGCAGTGCTTCTACCGATATCTTCGTCGACTTCGACACTTTGTCCACGTCGTTTGTCCGGGTGAAGACGTAATCCCAGACATCATCCGTCATTTGCTCGTGCTTGATGTCGAGCAAGCCCGGCGTTTTGCCAAACTTGTCACCGTGCAAGAAGTGTGCGATGGTGTAGTATGACATGTAGATGGTGCTGTCGCTCAGACTTTCCACCAAGAACGATTCATCCCAAGGCAGCTTCGATCCCAGACCGTATGTTCTTGCGCACGCCCATTGGTTCAGCCATTCCAGGTTCGCGACGAATTGGTTCTCGGTCTCCTGTATGTATGTCTCGAGGCCATTCTTGTCCTTGACATAGTCGACAACGGTTTGTTGCCACTCCTTGTCGTTCTCGCCATAATTCAAGAACCATTGTGGCACATATGCGACCACGCACTCGTCTGCACTTCGACTGATGACTTCGGCCGAAGGATCTGCGAAAGGGAAAGCGTCGCCAGACTTGATCAGAGCATTGCGCACCTTGTCCTTTGCCTCCTGGACCTTTTCGCCCTTGAATTCGCCAATCAGCATGCTTCCGTTGTAGAAACCTTCCTTGTAGGCGAGATCCTTGGCTTCCGCCAATAGGGTGGTGTCCTTGGGAGACTGGATCTTCTTCGTCTCGACCAAATGCTTGGCTGCTAGATTTCCGTACGCTGGGGTATCGATGATCGGGAGGATTTCAAGTTCAGCCCACCCCTTCTTGATACCGTAGAACTCTGCTTTCTTGGCCAGCTCTCTCATTGTTGCAAAGTCATCTGGACTGTCCGAAGGTACCGATGTGACAACGCCGGTACCCTTGGTCGCCGAAACTGTTTCCATGGGCAGTATCCGAACGCCTTCCTTATGGACCGATAGAGGCGCATTGACCAATGTGCCAACGAAAGCAGATCCGGGCAATTCCACCACGGGTTGCAACTCCTTCTGATCTCGCGGAAAGTTCTCCTCGTTGAAAAACGTGCCTTGGAACGCCATATTCCAGGCTGCCCGCTTGGTGACCACGTAATACTCCTTTTCCGAGACCTTGAAAATGCCGTAGTCTATCTTGGGTCCAACGAAACAGCAGACTTGGCCGTACATGGTCTCGGGTCTCAAAGTGGCGGGGACAAAATAGACGTTCGCGTCTGCCGGAATCTTCGACTCAACAGCCTTGGCCGCTTCCGCTGACCACTCCTTGACCTTCAACTTTAGCGCGGTGTACTCTGTAGGGCCGACGCCTTCACCCTTGGTCCGGTCGTGGTCCATACACGGCTGCCCGTCCTTGGGACTGTAGATGGTGTATCTCTTGCCATAGAGGATCTTGTTCATCTCTTTCAGACGGTTCATCTGCCATCGCACGAAGGCGTCGTAGTATGGATTTGCGTCGGTGGTGACGAATTTCCTCCGCCAATCAATCCTCGCACCGAAGTCGTTCAGATCTTGCTCGCACAGAGGTGGGAAATACTCCAGCCAGTAGCTTGCGTCTGCAAATTTGTGGATCTCTTCCTTCGGGATGCCCATGGCTAGCATAGTCTGGAACTGGTAGTTGGCTTTGACTGTCTTTGCAGTATGTTTGCTCTTCTTGCTCTTGAACTTTGTGATGTCGTCCTTGACATTGACTCCTTGTGTCGGCGCAACGGGGACTCCATTGGGCTCCGCATCGTCCTCATCTTCATGATAATGTTCAAAATTCTGCCCGAACTTTCTCACATCCTCAACGAGCTTGTCTGCGCAAGCCTTGATTGGCATGCCCGTGCAATGAAAGCCCAATGGGAACAGTACTCGCTTTCCGGTCAAGCGGGCAAACCCGGCGGTGAACTCGACCTTGCTGACCGTGAAACTGTGCCCAGCGTGCAGTGCGCCATTCATATAAGGATAGGCAAAGGTGCCAAAGTATTTGGGGTGTTTTGCTCGAATTTCTGCGGCGGGGACCGAGCCGAAGGGAATCTCGCTTGTCGAGGGCGCGTCCGACTCGAAGACTTTGTTCTTCTGCCATTCTTTCTGATACTTTTTCTCAATCGCTATGAGGACATCTCGATTGTGAGTCTGCGGACATTGCTGTTAGCGCTGCTGCATCCCGCTCGCGTGCGCAAGACTCACATTCTCAAGTTTGAGGGTGTTGGCTGCACTAGCCGCCAGGTTGACGGGTATTTGGGTCGCCATGATGGCGGGGCAAAGTGCACTGGGACCGCTGCAGACCGCGAAACCTAGAAAGACAGCTATTATGCAGAATACGTCGTGTACAGTGTGAGATTCAATTCATCTTCATATCCGCCTTTTTGACGGGGAATGTGACTCCGACAATGCAGGTGGCAGCCTCGTTCAAGTTTCTCTCGCCGGTGATGCGGGGCAAGGCTGACGTATCATTGATGCCGCTTTACTCCCACTATCGCGCTTCAGATCTAAATCTGCTGGAGCCGATATCATCCTGCCTCTCCTCAGCGAAGCCCCTCCTGTGCCTGTCGCCGCCGTTCTACAGCTCGGGCGCCTCCCAAGATTCTCGGTCGATTTTCATCACGGCTGACTGCTTGTGCGGGAACGTAACCTCGCCTTGCTTATAGAATCCGGCATCTTTCAAGTATCCGATGAATCTGTGCAAAGATCAGTTCCGTGACCGCAGAAGCACTGCTGCTAGGGACTTACTTCGTGTTATCGATCCGCGGCTCCAACATCACAGTCTCAGTTCTCGAGTCTGCCAGGAAACAATAATGTACCAAGGCAGACAGCCAGACTTTGACTCGATGGGCGCCCCGGAACTCGTTTTCCCCAATCAAAACGTGCAGTCCGCGTGTGTAGTTGCCTACCTCGCCACCCAACATGCGCCCCAGTTTGTCTTCCTTGACCCAGTATATCTCGAAGTATCCAAATGGCTTGCCGTCCCAGCAACCATAGACCGGGAACGAGTGTCGGCTTTCGAGGCTGTCGACTAAGAATTTGTGCTGTGTGCTCTGTGGTCCCGCAACTCCCCACGCCGCGTTCACTCGGGGATCATTCATCCACTTGTGTAGCAAGTCCAGATCCGACGGACGGTCCAAGAAGTTGTCCATGGTGGGCAGTGTAGCTATTGATGCTCCCCCGCCATGACTCGGCATGACAGCCGGCATCGAGGCCGATGAAGGCACAAATTGAGGATGTGGGCATGGCTTTGGGGAGAGTGTTGGGACCCTGAAGGATAGCCATTGACCTACGCTGGGTATATATCTGCTGTAAAATGTTTCACCCTGACGCGGTGGTTTAGGGCGGATAGGATGGCGTATGTGGTTTGTAAAGGTGAACTGGGTTGGATGCGGAGGGTAAAACGTAGGTAAATGACTTCCAGAGTTGAATGGTCCCCCGGGGGATGAGATGCCGGCCGTAAAACTGTCGCCTATGCCCGAAGTCGTCACATAGTCTGCCGGACGGGGAGAACCGCGATCAGTGACAGCCACCGTCGCATTCCGGTCTGGCGACGACGGTCGAGAAGGATACGGCGACGCCTGAGGAAATGGCGAATGTGACTGAGGTGCCATTGTAAAGAGAAAGATTCTTGCATCAATCTGCCAGAAAGACCTCCTGCTCACAAACGTGTCTGCCCAGCCGCTCGGTAAGCGGGTATCGGTGTCGGTGCCCACGGAAGAGTCCTCGGACGCAATCAACCCCATGCGCTCCAGCTTCTGCAGCGTGTTCTTTCCCTTAAAGATGCCCTCCCTCTTGATTTTGATGCGCCAGTCCAGCTTGGGCCTTCCGGGCTCTGGCGTCAGCGCAGATGCATCGGTGAGGGCATGGAGGTTGGGAGGCTCTTTGTGGAAATACCAGCATAATGTCGCCCACAGCATCATGGCGATATGCCTCGTGGGAGAAGCGGTATTCTTGAAGTCTGTGCTTGATGGCATGGATATCGAAGATATGAACATGGAGTCACTCTGGACGGTGGGCTTTGTAAATCGATGTGTGACCGTATGCTTGTGTCCTGTTTCTTCCAACCCCCGGTGAGAATCTCCCTCTGCTCGGCTTTTCCTACGTTCTTGATCGTCTTCCACTTGGTCCTCTGTCTGCAGGATGACAGTCCACCCCGGAGGCATTGCGGAGTGGTGCAGGTCCAGGTTCGTGGACTTGAAGGTGAAGCCGCCAAAGACGGGGGTAACGGTATATATCTGCCTGTAAAGCCATGATAAGCTTGTATCAAGCAAGATGAAGAGTATTCGGTTCCACTCTGTACGGAATACCGGTTCTGTGCAGAGGGCGGACTCACCCATTGGGCAGGTAGACTTGCTGAACCATGTCTGGGTTGTTCAGAGCATAGCGGCGCTCAGCAGCGGAAAGGGGGAGACTTTTACTTGAAGAAGGTGGATTGATGTGAGCTCTAGAATATGTAGAAGCCCCGTTCATATAGCGAGCCAGTTGTTACCCCCAGTCTCGTCTCGGAACCGATACTCGCCAACTCCAAGTCGCAAGCAAGAGAGAAAAAGACAAAAGAGAAAGAGCGAGGTCTCCGAAGCACTCTCGAGGAAGGGGATCAGCCTGCTGGCTCGACTGATGCCAGACTGTAATATTTTCACCGCCTCAGTCCTTCCCTTCGAGTGCAGCTCGCGGTGTGTGACAATTCTCTTGGGCACGGGGTGGTTGTTTGCGAGATAGAAAAATGACGTAGGCAAACCAGGAACAGCGACCCAAGGCTGGCGCTGCCCCACCTCGGTTCGGTTGTCTTGTGCTGGTGATATTGTGCTAGGGATGCTCCTATGCCACGATGAGGGGAGCGATTAGGCGAGGGTGTCAGCTTGGGGGCGTGCGTATGCCTGGCCGGCCAAAGCCATGGTACGTACAGGGTAGCGGTACTTACGTGGAGAGCACTGCACAGGAGAAGGCGAACGTCGGCGCCACAGCTTAACTGCGAGTGAGGCGTTTGACTCTCAGACTTTTGCTGGCTATAATCAAGCTTCCCTGATATCATTGACATGGGCGGAGCAAGACGCAAATATTGGGTGTTGGCTCAGTGGTGTTGCCCTGACATGTGAGTGCGCTGTCGGACTACGAGTACGGAGTACGCAGTACTTCGCAACGCCCTCGCGAACCGTTCGATGTCTATTCGGACCGTCTCACAGCCACCACAATCTGATAGTGTCTATCTCCAGCCCTATTCCATGTTCCCATGTGTCGCGAGTTCGCTGATGCCGCCAGCTACCAGTCAGCTGGAAGCAGAGCAGGGCGGGAAAATACCGCGGAGAATATCGATCCGCTGCCAGCACATCAGCTGCCCTGTCGACCAGCTGCAGAGTTTTCATGTACCTTCAGAAGTCTTCAATCGTGACACCTACGTCTCTGCTTTTCGCTAGTCTGATCAGGTCACCCGCGACAACCAGATCCATGAGGCCCATCCCCACGCTCTTGTAAATAACATTGCCCTTGGTAAGCCAGTCAAGAAGTCCTTGCTCTCCTGGCCCTCCAAGCTCGATCTCCTTTGTCGCAGCCTTTTTGATCATCATAAGCTCTCCAACCTCGACAAGGTGCTCTGGCTTTAGCTTGGCCTTGATCACCTCTCCTGCCTCCTTCAGGCAAGATTCGAGGCTGTCGACAATGATCACTCCACCCTGTCTTGCATGTTTGTGGTGGTGGTGCCCGCCGTGGTCGGGCTCAACAGCCACTCTGAGGACATCTGGGTGGATTTCGACCATGTGTGGTGCGTACGACCCGATGGCCGCAATATACCTCCCCTTCCTCCGTCCTTCGCGCGACGTGAGGAATTCGGCAGGGAACAGCGGTTCCGTTGACGGCGTGCAGCAAAAAATGACATCGGCCTTCCGCACCTCCTCCTTGAGCAGACGTCCATATTCTCCGAACTCCGGGCTCATGGCGGAGAATTTGATGTCTTTCCGCCACTGAACCCGGTCTTCTTGTGTCATCTGGAACGCCTTCATCAATTTGATTGATCTCTCAAAGCTTCGATTGATGATGTTGACGTGGTGTATCTGGTCTCCCTTGAGTATCAGTGCCAGTCTTAGGTGCCAGTACGCTTGCTTTCCCGCTCCGAAAACAGTCACTGTATGGACATTCTGTCGCTTTGTCAGCATCATAGTGGAAGCTAGTGCTGTTCGAAACGCGGTCAGTTCCTCGGCATTCACAATGCCCAGAGGATTGCCGGTTCTGTCAAGAAGGGTGATAGATCCTTTGGGGGCGGTGCTCTGTGAACTGGCCACGGATACCGGTGGTTGGAAGGAGGAGCCATCGATCGAGTTCCGGCCAGACGACATGGTAGACGCAGGCGACAGGGTCATCGACCCCAGGTCGTTGGTGGCGGACCTTATGGAGGCCCCGGACATACTCCCAGCTGGCGTATCTGAATGACCCTCTGACGTGCTAGACGACACCGAAGACTTCTTGCTCATAGACACCGGCTGCTCTAATGACACGATCTTCATCCCAACCGAAGTTCCCGTAGAAGCAGGCATAAAAAGGGTGGTGATTCCATTCTTCTTGATCACCGTCCTGTGAGGCTGAAACGATGCGCTACAGGGAGAGTTCGTATCGCCAGTTGAGTATGAATGCAGCGCTTCGGCGAGATTAGACTGAAGTTCGTCGACATCCTCCTTTGTCAGAGAATACAGAATCTCCTGGACATCCGCATCCGTGAGTACTGTGAGACTATGAAGACATTAGAATCGGGACTGGTATACCCAGATACTCTAAGGAGCCCAAGAGAAGCGTCCGGGCATGTCTCCGGAGTGCAGGGTATGCATATTATGAGTAAAGGAGCAACTTACGGCATGCTGGACAGTTGAGCCCGGAGGCACCGTCTGCCGTCTGTGTCGAGGCTGGGTCTACTTTCAAGAATCACCGTGCGGAGACCCAGGCCCAGCTGTAAGAGGTTCTATGGTCAGGACGCAACAAGTTCCTTGCACCAAAATCGGCGACAATCACTCCTGGTAGCCTTCGCAACACATCTGATGATTTCTCCTTCATCCGATTCGAAAATACGTCCCCTTCGTGAAGACGTCGTTGATGAGTATTGCCACGGAGACAAGAAATTCTGTCTTCGATCATTATTCTCAGCACCACCGGGGCCTACCGAGTGACGTTGAGGTGACGGTTGAGCACGAGGAAACGTGGCTGACTAAGATCAACCGTGATTGGCCGCGACACCAGCACATGCTTCTTGGCGGGTTTATTGCGTTGACACACAACTCAAGTGGTTTCAGCGGTTATCCGGACATTGCTACCTTTGACAACGGTGTCGTGATGAGGGGGCAAGACCTTTTCGATGTGAAGCGAAGCTGAGTGCAATGCTCATTACCCATCCAGTGGGCAAAGCCATGAGTATCAGAAAACTTCTCGCAACCCCCGTCACGCACATGCAATAGAGGGCAGAACCTCAAAGAAGAGCAATATGTTCCATAGACACTTCCTCCATAGAATTTCACCAAACCAATTGCTGGGTCCTCGAAAGAATTTCTGTACTATGTACGCCTCATTGGAGCAGCAGTGAGATTTTGCTCGGCCACTGGTACCTACTTGATCTCCGCGTGCTCGCTTCGCGTTGAACCATAACTCGGGAGGTTGCCGCGAGTATGTATTGTGCTGGTTTGGCCACCACTACTCTATGGCTGCTCGCTCAAATGGTTTTGAGGCAGTCACAAAGGAGAGTGTCCATTGGGCCTTCTGAAATCGTCCTAGGCTGCTTGATCGGTGTTGCCACCATCTTTCCGATTTCCTTGCTCGAGGTCACCTTTAATGCTCCAGGGGGTCGCGGGTTTCGGACCGCCTGCACAAGAGAATCATGACTCAAAACGCAATATGCTCAGGCTTCCTTGTCATGGTCGTGCCATGTTCGGGACATTAGGATGTCGCCATGAGCCCATCGTAACCGAAGGCAATTCAGTCGTGGATGCTTTTCTCTCTCTCTGGTTTTCACATGAAACCACATCCTAGGCTTCAACCAGGGAAGCGGCGACGATCATTAATGGTCAGATAGAGGTTGAGAGGGATCGACTTTGCGCAAATAGAAGATGTGTACGTAATTGCTCCTCCATTGATGACAAGGCCATCACACGACCCATTATGAGGATCTCATGCGTCCGAAAAGGTGCAGTCGATCTCCTCAACCGAGAAGACTGAATAGCCGTCCCTCGGCCGCGGGACTGATTCTGCCCAGCAGTCATGGCCTAGTGGAAGGCTGGCTCGCAGTTATGCTTAATCCCGAGCCTCGCAACCGCATGTGCTTAGTGGCCGCAGTCAACTGTGGACATCTTGAGAAGCGTTCCGCAGAAGGTGAGCAATGCTTTGCGAACCAATGTGCGGACGCTAGGGTTCAGAGCAAGACTGCTTCAGAGAGCACCAACAAGCACACCACATTGTTTCTCCAGTCTGTATTTGACCGATCTATGAATTGCCCAGATGCGCAATGGGGCTTCGTATGAATAGCGGACCCAGCCATTGCCTCCTCAAAAGGCCAGATAAAGCATACGAACAAACCTACAATGATTTGGCCTAGATACCGAGTCTGGCTGCCAGCTCAGCTGATCTGCATTTCAAACAAAGGCAAGGCACGTATAACAGATTGTCAATTGGTTGATTTTGAGGCCGGCGGATTATCGAAATGAAAATCGCTTCACGCTGGGAGTTGCAACTCAATTTGCACTGCAGGAGTGTTAGACTTCGCTAGCCTTGCACAATATTGTTGCTATCACAGTCGAGGCGACTCTGCTGGTTGTACATACCGTACCTTTGACAGCGAACTTAATCTTTACGTCCAGCTCATTGAGGGATATGTGGGTCCTTGAACTCACAACTAACCTTGCGATCTGCCTTGCCGCGGATTGGGAGTCACGTCACGACCAGCCTTGACAGTAGCCAGCAATATCGAACTGCCTGTCAAGCATCTTGTCCCTCGCGGGGCAATCGAACTTGGATTCGCCTCCTCGCTGACTCTGACGCGTTTCAGGGCTGTGAATCCTTGCCAACCAGCTCAAACAACACCATTGCGCTTCTGGTGAGGTTGTGCGAAGTAATAGAACGCTGCATCTGTCCTTCAATCAAGATCGGAAATTGCTGCTGCGTGGATGAGAAGGGGGTTTGTACTGCGGCGACA